TATTTTAATATATTTTTCTAAATAAATGTTTTTATTTTCATTTTTTATTAATGCTAAAAATATATTAATTAAAATTATAAAATAATGGAAATTAAATTACATACTTAATTTTAAGTTATCTATTAACGAAATTTTTATAGTGTTAATGAAAAATAAAGGCTTAATAAAATATTAAATAATATAAAACCTAATCTAAATGTTTCGTTTATGATATTTTTTGTATAGAAGAAGTACATAAATCTATTTTTATGAAATTATCAAGTTAAGTTAGTGCTAAAAAACTTTAAAATTATTATTTTTTTATTCTAATGACTAATTATTATACAAAATAATTTTACAAATTTTAAATTTATAGTAAACATAAACACTTTCAATCAAGATAAAACTTTATTAGTTTCCCAATCTTTTCAGTTGAAAAATACGGTAAGCTAGTCTTTGGAGCTCGCGATCTACTAGTTAAAACTATTACTTAAAAGTTAGAACAAAATTATTTTATAAATAAAATATTTTCTTAAACAATATGTAATATACTGAATGTAGCTATATAAACTGAAAAATTATTTTCTAGTAAATTTTTAAAATAAACTCAGACATATTTTTAAGCATTAGATAAAAATGTTTAGTAGGACTATTCATACACTTTACGCACTAAACTATAGTATTAAATTATATATTTACGTATTATAATTGTTTAATTTTAAGAATACTTAAAAAACTTTTTAAAAATATTGTAATTAACATTAAAAAAAAAACATTTATAGTTGATTTTATCAATTCCAATTTTCAAGACATAGCTACAAGATTAAACATCTAGGGCTTTTTAATACAGTATCAAATCACTCTACGATAACTTTAAAGATGAAAATATATCCGAATAACATATTTAATTAACTAAAATGCTAATTAATATATCTCTGAACTTAAATTAACCCCAAAATATCCATCCAATGTAACATTAATTAAGTTATGTAATTATCTTAATTGTCCTTATTAGCTACTTGAAAATAATTAAATGTTTCGAAAAACAAAATTATTCTTAATTATTGAACAATTTAAGTAATTAAAGCGACTAATGACGTTCGTTTTAAGCTTCATAAGTTATAAAAGTCATTTATAACATTTACTAGCAATAATGATTAACAATGTAAGTCATCTACTCGTATACATTAATACTTTCTAGCTAAAGTTTAAACATATTATCAGTTCGATTTAACGTCATTATGAATTAACTCATTGTTTATTCGTTTAAACTTACTCAATAATCACTAACTGATGTCATTCCTGTTCATTTTATACTCGTATCATAACGGAAAGAGTGGGCTTTAAATCATACTAAACATCATTTTATACGCGATGTCGATGTAAATAGTTCATTTTAATAATAATATAGATCGTTGCCGAATTTCAAAATGGACCATTATAAATCTTTAAAATTAGTAGAAATGTTTAAATTATTAGTTTTAATTTAATTTATAATTTCTCACCCAATAAAACCATATTCAATAGTAAGTAGAATGGGTAAAGTTATTAACCCATTTGGAGGGAAGTAAACTCATGAGGATCGTTAGAAGATGAGAAATGAGTTTCGTTAGAACTGAACCCACCTCATTTGTAGAGTTTAAAGTTGTGAGAACCGAACCCATGGCTTTACATCTTTCAAATGACCTGGTTTCGGTTCTCGTTCAGTCTACATTTTCTATCTTGGTTTTCTACAAGTAATAAAAGTTATGATAGTTTTAAGAGGCCCTAAACAAATGGGGCCTCTTATTTAAGTTTATATGATAATCTTATTTCACACGATAATTCATATTATACACGATCTAGTGTTGGATTTCGAGAGCTATACTAAGATCGAGTTTTGAGGACAAAGAAAGCCGATTTGATAATGATTGTAAAGCATTCTCAAATAAGGTAGTAAGTAAATTTTCTGTTATTGAAGAAAGTATAGAATTTAAAACAACTGATGATAAAATTGGATTGGAAGTATTAGATTTGAGTACTGAATAGTTTTGACAAGTACATTTTTATACTTATCTAAGGCCCTTAAAGAGCAAGGCCCTAGTTCAAAGCCCATAATAAAATGCAAGACCACCAAAAGTATTTGGCCACTGTAGCGCATATTGTCTACGCCTAAATAGCCACTATTTTCATCTCATTTAATAGGATATATATTTTATATTTTCGTTAACAGAATAGCTAATAAATAAGCGTAAATAAACATGGGATCTTATTAAATTTAACGATTTCTAGATTAAGCTTCAATTCGTTATAAAGCGTGGAGTGTTTCGATAGTTTATACATAAAATATGAAAACCAAAGATAGGAGTTCAGCTCTTTTTTAAGCTTCGAACATTGTATTCTGATACAAGTTTTTACTTAGCTAGAAACGTAAATTATATATAAAAATTAACATTTTGAAAATCATTAATCTTTTATTTCACGCAATGATACAACTGGGGTGCACTTCCGAGTGCAGATATTTTATTAAAATTGAATTTAATTGAAATTAAATTTTAATAAAATAAAAGTAATTTTTGACTATTTAAGTAATTTATTATTTAAGTTGTAAGAAGATGTATTATTTGAATATTAAGCATTTATTAACCTACATCTTTCTCTTTTAAGGTAGAATAATTCATCTCATTATAAAAATCTACAAAAAATTATGATCCTAATTATTTTTAAAATAATCTTTAAATAAGTCACTCATTTAATAATTATATTTACCGATTTTTTTACAAAAGTATTAAAAAAATTTTAATGAAATTAGTTACTTCAGACATAAAACTTAAAAAATTAGTCTTTCATAAATTCAAAAGAGAATTTTAAACCTTCTCCATCGGCCTCCTGATTAATGACATTTAAATCTTTTGTTTTCGGGACATTTTTAGGACATTTCCGACAAAATGATTGACCTAATATTATTAAGAATCAGGTCATTTTTTAAGAATAAAGATGACATTTATATATGACATTGACGAAACAAGCGAATTGTTTATTAAAGTTAGGGCTTATATTATTTATATAATTAACTTCTATTCGATTTTTAGAGTTGGCAAAAAGGTCAATGACCTTACTGAAACGGACCACATTTACAAATTCACTTATAGGAGAAGGGGGGTGTATGTAAAATTTGGTATAGAGCAAGCGCTTTTATCAGTTGTTCATTCAGTAGGCCCTAATCTAGTAGAGTATATCCACAGAGGGAATTTAGACTGACCAAATTACCTCGTCCAATCTAGTGGACGGCACGGAAGGTAGTTGATTTGCAGAGATCATTCTCTTCCATTCATGTCCGTCAAACCGGCATAAGATTAATACAATGAAAAACTCCCGAAAGAGAGACAAGTCACTCCGCCCATTACATGTCTTCCGTTTAGTACAAGGGCTTTGTGCAATTTCGTTTCAGTTTCCTGCTGTCTTATTTGTCCTTTCCTCTTTTTTTTCTTTCCTCTTTTAACTGAAAGAGCTTCACAATCATCTCTAACCATTAAGTCAATTTGATCTGCTATTATTAGGTCCTAATTAAGTCCTAAGTTTCTATAATGTTTTTGTATCAATTGAGTAATGTTATCTCAACGTGCCTTAAACACCTCTCAAAATCTTTACTTATAACTTAAAAAAATCAAGGATTTAAATTGTTAGAAAACAATTATATGCATTAAATATAAATGAACATTAATATTAATAGAATCTTACGTACAATAAATGTTTCAGAATTTTAAAAAGAATTTTTTTGCCTTAAATATTTATATTTCATATGATTAAAACTTATTGAAAAATGTTTTTTTCTCTATTCGTAGACTGTTTTCATGTATATATTTAATTATTTTATATAAATAAAATGTAAACTATATTCACTTATATAATAAGCTGCAAACTTGTGATAAAAGCAAGCAAGCCTATAAATAGGGACGAATATAAACCTGTATGAACCTAAATTATGTAACATATAAAAGGCCTCTTCTTTTCACTAAATAATAATAAATTTTAAAGTGTAAGGCCATAGATTATTGCCTCATAACATCAGTTCTGGAGCTGTAGATTATATGTAAATCTAATCTGATTACAAACTTTCATAGGTTATGCTTACGGTATGATGTGAACATCACTTTATAAGTCTTTATATTCTTTAAAATCAATGTATTGAATATTGTATTTGATAATGTACACTTATTAAATCTGTAAAAAAATAAAATTTACGGATATATCTCTAAGAATCTTGAAATCTTTCAGAGAGAATTGTGAAAACAAGAACATAAGAAGCTTTTATAGGTCTATAAAATTCTCAAGATCTCTCTAATGATTTTATTTCTAACTTTAGAATGAATTATTTATCAAAATTCTATAGATTGACATTATATTCTCTTAACTAAATCTTATTTCTCTCTATCTCTCTCTTTCTATATATATAGGTTATACATTATGAAACTGTAGCAACTTTATTTAAACTTTTATAAATCAATAAATATATATATATATATATGCTGTATATATGATTCAAAAAGTAAAGATTAATCTAAATATTTTTTCTCTCTCATACGTTGCTTCTTTCGATAACTAAATTTAGATAAAATATTCTTCTAAGTGAGATCGTACAGATAAGAATTTATTTTTCTAACTGAGTACTTGCACCAATGTTGTTTCTCTCCTCCAACACGTTTTTCTATATGCATATTTTATGAAATTTCGAAAAATTTATCTTGGAGAAATACACTTTTTAAAAAACTCATATTCGATCTTATAACCAGGTTAAGATGTTATTATAAATAGAACTACATGATAAGATTTACCATAGTGTTTATATTATAAACATTTTAGTTACATCCCTCGTTAGAAGGGAATAAATGGACATATTACTGAGAAAATAGAAAAAAAAAAATAATCCAAAATTCCAGGAAAAATCCCTAAAATTGGTTGTGACACTTATCTTTATCTAGAGTGTAAAAGTAATTAAATATGAAAATGTTTATAATTATTAAGTTATTCTTCTCAAACTTTAATATATAAAAATTTAATATTTTTACTTTTTCTGCATCATCATCATCATCATTTTCTTCTTCTTTTCCATCTAGATTTATCTGTTGATTGACCATCCAAGGGCAAAACACCCTCAGTCTCAAGAGGATGAAGCTGTTATACTCACAACCTTTCTCTTACGCTTCACTCATATAATGATGTCGACACGCTACTCACTTGTTTAGAAACTTAAAAATCAAGTAAAATTATATAAATTTTAGCAAAGTGTATAAATAAATCACAATAAAAAGAATTTTCGAGACGTAAAAGTAAGAAAAGTCTCAGTAGATAAGCTTACGCTACTAAAAAAATGATTTTTTTCTATAAAAAAGCAACAAAACTTTTTATTATTATTATTATTTCCTATCAATTTCAATAGGACTATTTACTAAAAAAGAAGAAAAATAAAAATAAAATTTCATATTTCACACTTTCATAACACATTTCTCCCCCTTTTCAAAATCGAATTTAAAGAAACACAAACAAAAATGTTACATTTTCAAACATATTATACACAAAGATCAATTTAAATCGAGTATTAAATTCAAAAATTTAACATTTTCTCTTTATATATATATATATATTAATATATCCAAGAAGTTCCTACGTCAGTTTCGAGCCAATTATTTTACATATAAAAAAAGCAAATTCATGTACAAAACTGAACGAAAGAGGAAGAAGTAAGGGGGAAGACAAAGAAGAAGGGGAAGAAGTAGAACAAAAAATAAAAAATAAAAAAAATCTGCAGAAAACAGAAAAGGATTTGTCGAGAATGGAATTGGATATCATGTACAGTACTACCTATGACGTCACGCGGTAGTACCCTCGCAGGTGGCGCTAGTAACACTTACCGAATCCAATAAAGTATGGAAATAAGGTTAAACTGGATGCTGATATTTATGAAAACCAATATGCTGTCCCGAGATTTCCTTCCAAGTTCATAAATATTAATGTTCTGAAGAGGAATACTTTAGAGAGAGATTCAACCCTCCCCTCTTTTGCTCCCTCCACAATTTTTTTTTATTTTTTTTATTTTTTCTTGTGAGAGGGTTTCGTTTGAGAACAGCAGCTTCGAAATATATATAAATATATATATTTTTTTATTATTATTTTGCTTGCTATAGTGTTTTTCCGTACGTTCTGTTTCCTGTTTTGGGTGCGGAAATTTGGAAAAGAAGATATTTTCTATCCGTTATAAAGTAGGATCGAGTCTTTCCATAACTATTTTTTTTCCCCTATTTTTTCTGTTTGAAAAAGTTACAATATTGTTTATTCTTTTCGCATTTAATCTTTATTACTATTTAGATATCAGATTTTTGCTTGTTTTAAGTCAACATCTTGTACGTTCTTTGCGTTATTATTATGTTAATTTATCGCTTTGAAGCTTTTTAAATTATCAAATTTATCTTTTATATTGTCGGATTTAATGATATTTAATAAATTTTTTCTGTAAATAATGTTAAATCACTCATTCTAAATGTGAAAAGTTAATAGTAAATTACGGAAAATGCTTTTGTTTTTTTTAACAGAAATCTCTGAAAAAAAGACTATAAAAGATTTTTAATTTGTCAATTTCATCTTTTAAACAGTTAATTCCAATAATATTTAATAAATTTTAAATATAAATACTATTAAACCATGCATTCTAAATGTAAGAAGTTGACAGTAAATCAAGAGAAATGCGTGGTGGTAAGTTGTTTCCCTTGAAAGATTTTTAAAGAAATGCTATAAAATGTTCATAATTTATTATATTTATTTTTTAAAATAGTCACAAAACAAATTTTAATAATATTAAATTAATTTTCAGTTTAAATTAGGCATTCTAAAAGCAATTAAATCAACATTAAATTATATCAGATTCATTGTTGATTTATTTGTGAAGAAAATGATGTTAAAAAGTTTATAATTTATGAACTTTATCATCTAGAAAGTAAATTTAAATTTTCTTTTAAAGTTTACTTTTAAACAATGATAAATTAACCTATTAAAAGTAATAATTCAATACTAAATAGTTTATCTTAAGCTATTGTAAATGGAATAAATATAAACAATCTTTTAAAAAAAGAATGCAAAAATTTATAAAATCTGTTGTATTTAAGTTTGAATGAATTAAATTTAATAAAATTATGTAAAATTTTGATTTTAAATATCGTTAAATCGAAATATTAAAAGCAATAAATCAATAGCAACAGTATTGATTTATTACTTTTAATATACAAGGTATCCAAGATAATATATAAGACGAAGAGTCTCTTAAAAAAACGACAACAGAAATTCAATTTAATCTTTTAAAATATTGTTTATAAAAGAATTTGAAATATTTAGAAAATATAAAATATTTATTTTCCTTTAATATATTCGTATTTATGTAATTTTCTTATTCCATTTTAAAAACTTTTAAAATTATCCATATTTATGTATAATTGTAATTTAGTTTTTCGTAATTTATTCGAAGAAATTCTCTGGAAAAGACTAAGATTAATTATAAAATTTACTAAATTTATCTTTTAAAGCATCAATTTTTTATAAATTTTACTAAATTTTGCCTTTAAATAACCTTAACTCAGAATATTAAAATTAATCAATTAGTAGTAATTGCAATAATAAATACTACGGTAAAGTACAAAATCTCTTAAAACACACTATAAAAATTAAATTTAACCTTTTAAATGTTGTTTATATNTAATATTATCTTCTTCTAGATATAGGATGATGTAAGTGAGGTATGAAAAGAGCCAAAAACTGTCGACCTGTGTGTATAAAAATCTATTAAATTTAACTTTTAAATAATTAATTTTAAAAATATTAAACTAAATTTTGTCTTTAAATAAATCTAAATCGAAATATAGACGTATTAACGATAATAAATGGTATAGAGAGGTGAAGAAGCTCTTAAGAAAAGGCTACAAAAATTCAATTTAAACTTTAAAAATAGTGTTTACATTTCAAAGAATATAAAATATTTTTTTCAGAAAATCATTTTCCTTTAATATATCACGATTATCCTTAATATATTTATCAAAAAAAGAGGAGGAAGACGTCACTCCTTTATCAACTAATCTAATCGATCTTCGAATTGGATCAGGTAAGAAATATATCTTGAGAAAGATCCAATCGCATCTTCCAAATATTAAATACCCATCGAAAAATCCTAACTTCTGGAATGCGCAACATACGAAAACGTTTTAAAATCATAAAAGGATAGGAGTGGAAAGAATTCCGTGTTTAGAACAACTCGTTAAATCACATCCAAGTCCTGAGAGATTGTCGTATCATATGGTTTTTGATTTCCTCTGGGATGTGATTGTCTGACTTGACTTACTTGCTATCATTATATTTTCGAATTTTCTTCGTTTTTTTACCATGCACTGCCAACTACATCGTATTATATATTGAAATGCCGTTATGTCTTATAAGGTCTCGTTTTGTTTTGAAGTCCCAAGAGTAATACATTCGTTTAAAAAAAATAAAAATAAAAAATAAGGGAGGAGGAAAACCAACTTAAGTCAAAGTTGCATTCGCCTCTCTCTCTCTCTCTCTTACGTTTTCCTTATTTATTCGATTTGATTTATTTATTTATTTAAATTTTTATATTATATACATTTATACTTATATAAAACTTTATTAGTTTAATACTTGCTATATAAAATTTAATAGTTTCTTTGGTGAAATTTGAGTCGACTATATTGAATTTTAGTGAGTAATTTGATAAATTTTAACATTTTTCTATCAAACTTTATGCCATTTTAATGAAAAATAACAGTTTTAAGTAACTAACTCGCTAAAGATTTGGAGGAGGCACGAGCTGTTCATCTCTTTTGTAGCCCACGTAAATATGAGACTTGGGCCAAATGATTTAAAAGAGGGCCTGAATAATATATTACAATGTATAAAAATATTACTTTGTATAAAACTTAATAATTTCTTCTTGAAACTTATATCGAATATACTGATTTTTCCATCAGATATTAAGTTAGTTTAATGAAAAATAAGAGTTTTAAATAATTAAAGGACTAATATGAATAAAATTAAGACCTTTTAGTTATCAAGAAGCCGGGTAACTTGCCTTTTTTAAGGCTCTGTTTTAAATATGAAAAACCGTGTTCAAGTGACCTTTCTGATTCCACGTGAAAGGACCAGAATAAGATTACATTTTAAAAATACTTTATATAAAATTTAATTCAATAATATCGAATTTTGATTTATAATTTAATATATTTTAATATTTTTCTATCATATTTTAAGATTATTTTAATAGAAAATCAGAGTTTAATTGAAAGGGCAACCATCTGTAGATAAACGAGGCTGAGTTGTAATAAAAGATAATTAAATTTATCTTATATTTTAAAAAATATAAAANTAATGAATGAAATGGTTTATATATATATATATATATATGTTTATTACGGAGAATTATGAGAATTATAAGAGTAAAGGTAAAAAGGAACGATTTTAATGGGCAGAATCTTCCCAAATATTGTTATATACTCATAATTATAACGCCAACTATTGATAAAATGCCTATAAACTTATATAACATTATTTAACTTACCTAAGTGAGAGTTTTGACCCCTTGAAAGAAGATAACAAAATGTCATAAAATAATATTTGATCTTTAACCTTTCAATATAGTATACTCTCGTTTACGACTAAATAGAATTTGGAAACAAGTCGTAAAGCGAGCTGCTTGTTTCCCATATGCTCAATGCCATAAATTGAGATTACGTTCCTAGAAATAACAATTTTAACTATATAATGTCACGTAGAGATGACCAACAAAACAATACGCCACTTAAATAGAAAATTTATGTCAGTCGTAAAAATGGGAAGTTGTAAAACGGGGTTTGCTGTATTTACATTCCACATACTTTATAGCTTGTATCAGATGTAATCTGCTAGTTTTTTTACCTTATAAAGACATTTATACGATAAAAATAATACATTATAAGGCTTCTAGAATATAGATTAGAACGTATTAATGATAATTAAAATTATTGTACATTAATAACGATTTATTAATCTCATTTTGTAAGCCGAAGTTGAAACAATAGAGCCTGGAGGGTGATCAAAAAGTTTGATATAATACCACTTAAAAGTTAACTTTTTAAAAACTTTTATTGATTTTTTTATAAACTTACTAACTTTATAAACGTGGAAAACTATAAATTGATCAAATACTTGGCCACAGAGATAACATAATACAGAAAAATCTACCAATGCTTAATCTAAGAGGGTAGGTTAATCAAGGTGATAAGA